AGCAGTGAGTAAGAAGCAAACACATATCTGCCATAGGATTAAGTCTCATTAAAGTAACATACATTTTTATTTTCTTCCTTTCTTGTGAATACTTCCTAAGAGACAAAACACACATAGGATATTATTTCCTTTCTTGTCATAATATGGGCACTCTGAATTCAAAGTCTCATTCTTTTTCTCTCCCCATAGAACTTGATTTCCTTAGTTGATTTGCATAGCAGCATCTGTGTCTCTGATATTCTGAAATAGTCTCTTGGGGACACATGCATACAATATCCTTTCAAGGATCCATTCATTAGTACAGATATAAAAGAATCCAGATTTTAAGATCTGTGCATGTACATTTATTCTAGGATTGTGTTTTTCTTCAACCAAGACCCTGAACACCTGGATTAGATTATATTCAGCTTACTATTGCCCGACACAAAAATTAAGGTATTCAAAACTATAAAAGAGGTGATAATGACAAGATTATTTTCTGTAAGCTGTATGATAAAGTGGAGAGGAGCGTTGTATATAAAATGAATTGCTTATTATTTTTCCAGAAATAAATCTGATTATATTCACATAATTTGAAGGCGACAATGTTGTGTGTGGTTGGATTGTCTTGGAAAGTGTTTGTGTTCCTAAATCCAGCACTAAAATTCAGTTGCCTTTGATAATACATGTTATTTCTATATCCAAATAGGAAATACTTATTTGGTAGTGATGGATGTCAGGTGTGGATCATTCCCATGAAATGGAGAAATGAAAAAAAAACAAACCTAGAGAACAGTTCTGTTGCTTACTTTTTACCTGTTGTTCCCTTATTCTTTGAAATCAGAGTCTAATTTTCCTTGGTTATTTTCTGGAAAGACTGAGCAATGTCTTTTTTTGGGTGTAGCAAGATCTAGATAGAACAAGAAACCTCATATGAAAAGAAGAATGATTCAAATAACTGAAGATGGTTTAATAGAAAAAAGTATTACCTACAGAGTTTAAGAATGAGGACAAATAGCAGATAACATCAAAGTTATATTTTAGATGGTGATACTCATGCATAAATATTACTAATTCAGTTTTTCTGCCCACACCTTAGCATAGGTGAATCAATTTCTCTGCAGAAAAAATGAAATAATGATGTGTTGAATTTGTTTTAGGTCTGTTTTACAAAGGCAACTGCTTACATTTGTAGTTAATACTAGAGTCTTTAATTTGGATCTTGGAGAGCTTTGTGAATGTATTGAAGATGGAACTAACTTGTGTAAGCAAAAGACCAGTTATAGTGACAAAGCCATACAATATAACAAGTAATTATGAGAAAATGTTTATCTAGTATTTTAGAAGTACTTCAGAAAAATGGACAAGTAATCAAAATTTTTTTCTGTTTAGGAGTTATTTATTATTTTATTATTCCTTTTGTGTTTATGTGTGTGGCACCAGAAATTGAACCCAGGAGCATCATTGCACACATTGCTACACACTTATGCCAATTTTATTTTTTGAGGCAGGGTCTCACTAAGTTGATGATGCTCCTGCTTCAGCCTCCTGAGTGTCTTGGAGATCACAGTTTTGCATCACCAACCAGAAATTCCCCTTAGTTTTTCTGTCTGCTTTTGATACATGGATACATATTTTAAGTGTAATAGAAATACCTGCTCATACTTGGATACATGTAGGTCAGTATATAGCCACAGTATGTTTTGCTCCATCCTAGGCCATTACTCTTTCTGCACAAGTATAATTAAAACAATAATCTAACATTTTGCACACTTTACATAAAATACTTTAACTCCAAGAGAAACTTTGAATGTGCTTTGTGCAATGATATTTACAATGCAATGTATATCTTGAAGCAAGTATTGAACTTTACAGTTAAGAGATACTGTTTAATGTACTAAAGAGGGATAGAGGGAGGAAAAAAATAGTGACCCTATTGACTAGTTCATACTAAATAGTTATAAATTATTGAAACATAATTTTATAAACTTCTTATGACAACCTTAATTAAATGCATATTACTTATATGTTTCTGTGAATATATACATACATGTACATATGTACAGACTATATATGTTTAACCTAATAATATATGTGTAAAAGTCCTGAAAATATGTTGAATAAAAATATAATTTACAAATTTACTGAGTTGTAAGGACAAAACCTTGTTTGTAAATTTGGTTTTTAAAAGAAAAGCCTTTCTTATGTTGAAAAGGCCAAATTTTATGCTTCATTATAAAATAAAAATTAATACACTCCTTGAAATTCCAAGGCTAACATTTTAGCTTATGAGTAATCGACTCATCTTAAATAGAAAATTAAGAGTGGTTTTATAGGAAGTCCATATTTTAACTTTCCTTCTGTGTTCACAAAACAAGAATGTGAATGTGTCCTTCATCAATTGTATTATGAAAATATCTTATAAGGCCTGGAAATCAAACATGTTGATATAATTAGCTTTAATTTCAAAATGCCAAACATTTTATTTCTCCAAAGTGCTCTTGACCCAAGTGTTTTTCCTTTAAATTCTCTTTGTCTAACATTAATATAATCTCCTTGATATTTTGGGATACTCTTTATTTAAAAAATGTCTGTATACATTTTTAAACCTCTGTGTTTTGTTTTTATTCTATGCACTCTTTCAAGCTGCATAAGTAATTTAAAAATAATTATAATCATGTTTTGTAATGGGAAGTTTAAATGATTTGTATTTCTTGCCCAAACTAACATAAAAATATTATAATATATATATATATATATTTGTCATTTTATGTTTTCTTTTTCTCTGTACTTTATGACAATGATGATTTATTTATTTATCTTTCCCAGTAATCTTAAGGAATATAATCTGTAGTTTTCTTTATTCTAGTGTCTTTTATGCACTCTAAGCAATAATACTTAGATTATAATTTTAGTAATTCTCACATGTCATGCATTCATTACTCATCTATTTTTTACTTTAAAGATACCTTTATAAATATGTATTATGTGTGATTTGATTTGATAGACACTGGTGATAGTTTGTTGGACACTGTCCTGAACATAAATAATTTTATTAAACTGTGAATAATTCCTAAATATGAATTCATTTTTATGGTATCATGAGATAAGGAGAAGTAAAGAGAATAATTTTTGAACCAATGGATTTCTTACCATTCATCACAGCTGTTGGAAACTGCATTATTTTTGGAGTATTAAGAGGATGAATCACTATCAAGTCTTAAGGACATCTTAGTCTTCCTGATAATGGTTTTTCTTGAATAATGAGTAGGAATTGGTCACATTTGAAGAGCATAGGCAAAGGGAACACAAAAAGATAGAGGATTTTCCATTATTCACAAAACCAAAAATACCAGTTTATGTAAGTAGGAAAAATAGCAAATAGGAAAGAATAGGATCCTCCCCATTTTGATATGTCAGGATTGTCATAATGCTTCAGGTCTACAGCATTTGCCCATTCACTAAAAGGTCTTCTTGAGACTAGGATAGATACACATGTGCTACTTTGACACTGGAATAGCTCTAAGATTTTTGTCATTGCCTAAAATTATACCCTTGAAAAGTGTACTAATTAATCTGTACAATCTGTGTTTTTTTACAGTTTTTGAAAGAAGTTGCCTTGTGATTTATCTCACTTATCTTCCAGATGTTGCTTTATAATATGAAAATAAAGCTGCATCCTGAGAAATTAAATGATGGCAGTAAACTTTAACAAAGTCTTTAATTTTCCCCAGCAATATGATTTTATTTATTTATACTTTATATTTTAAAAATTCTTTGGTAGTAGTAGATGGACAGTATGCCTTAATTTTATTTGTTATGTGGTGCTAAGGCTCAAACCTAGTGCCTCACATGTGCTTGGCAAGCACTCTGCCACTGAGCCAAACCCATCCCCATGATTGTATTTTTAAATAAATTATTATCAATGGTAAATGCCTGACCATAATACATGAAGATATTTAGAAACAGTAAAAGAAATTACCTGTTACCATTCATCGATTTTATTAATTTTTAATAAAGTCATTTATGTTTAGTACCTTTAACAATTTTCAATTATGAGTAGAAGTTTAATTTTGAAAAAATTTAGAAATGCACATAGACTAGATGTGGTAAAGGATAAGAAGCATGCATCATAAAACGTGAGAAGACTAACTCAAGCATTTCACTGGCTTTTGAGATCCTAGGATCATTTGAGAAATGCCGTTTAATAATTCTAGAATGCTTTCAACAGTGCTTGGTAACCAACAATAAATGTCAGTCATTAATTTTAATTTTATTTTGGTACTACGGATTGAACCTAGGAGCACTTAACTACTGAACTACATTCCAAGCCCTTTTTTATATTTTATTTTGAGACAAGGTCTCACTAACTTGCTTAGTGCCTCACTAAATTGTGGAGGTTGGCTTGTGATTCTCCTGTCTCCCTGTGTTGCTAGGATTACTTGGTTCACACCACAATGTCTGTCATCAGTCATTATGTTTTTTGGCCATCAATGAGGTGATCAAAGCAATCTGCTTTAAGATCACATTCACAGTGACTATGCACAATAATTAAAAGTTAAATCAGGTAGTCTAACAAAAAATTTTCATTATACTTGGTTACGAATTATATAATGTGAATCAGTCTCTAAAATAATTAATGTAGATTCATTGTTGGTGATAAAAACAGACTGCATAAGAAGAATTTACTGAATGAATCAATGAACTAACAACAAATAACAAGCAAACAAAGCTGTTCCTTGGCCACTCAAAAAAATTTGGCTTATGATGAGAAGAAAATATAACTATGCATCATGAGCACTTAAACTATGGCAGTATGCTTTAACAAAGTCTTTTATTTTCCCCAGCAATATGATTTTATTTATTTATTTTTTATATTAAAAAATTCTTTGGTAGTTGTAGATGGACAGAACAGCATCATTAAAATGTATAATTTTAAAAAATGTGGTTGATGGGAGACAGTAACCTTAACCTATGCTTTCTGTACTTTTTTCCTATTTCAGCAGAACTCACATAACTTTAAGCTGATTCATGACCATACTAACTTGATGATGCTGATCTTGAATAAAACAGATCTGACCCCAGCTTCATTCATTCTTAATGGGATCCCAGGCTTGGAGGACATGCAAATCTGGATTTCCTTCCCATTCTGCTCCATGTATGTTGTGGCTGTGGTTGGGAATTGTGGACTCCTCTACCTCATCCGCTATGAGGACTCCCTGCACAGATCCATGTACTACTTCTTGGCTATGCTTTCTCTAACTGACCTTGTCATGTGTTCCAGCACAATCCCTAAAGCCCTGTGCATCTTCTGGTTTCACCTCAAGGAAATTGGATTTGATGAATGCCTGGTCCAGATGTTCTTCATCCATACCTTCACAGGGATGGAGTCTGGGGTGCTCATGCTTATGGCCCTGGACCGCTATGTGGCCATCTGCTACCCTCTGCGCTACTCAGTCATCCTCACCAATGATGTCATTGGGAAGGTTGGGCTCGCCACCTTCCTAAGAGGGGTGTTGCTCATTACTCCTTTCACTTTCCTCACCAAGCGCCTTCCCTACTGCAGAGGCAATGTCATCCCTCATACATACTGTGACCACATGTCTGTAGCCAAATTATCCTGTGGCAATGTCAAGGTCAACGCCATCTATGGTTTAATGGTAGCCCTCCTTATCGGAGGCTTTGACATCCTGTGCATCACAGTCTCCTACACCATGATCCTCCGGGCCGTGGTCAGCCTCTCCTCAGCAGATGCTCGGCAAAAGGCCTTCAGCACCTGCACTGCCCACATCTGTGCCATCGTCTTCTCCTACAGTCCTGCCTTCTTCTCCTTCTTTTCCCATCGCTTTGGGGGCCACACAATCCCTCCATCTTGCCACATCATCGTGGCCAATATTTATCTGCTTTTGCCTCCCACCATGAACCCTGTTGTCTATGGGGTGAAAACTAAGCAGATACGAGACTGTGTCATGAGGATCCTTTCAGGTTCTAAGGACACCAAGTCACACAACATATAAATAAATAAGCATATACAAGAGGAAGAGAAGAAAATCATTATACCTAAAATTTGCCTGTTTTTTTTCAGGAGATGGTAAATTCCTTAGCTGTGTAAGATAATACATCTGTTATAACCACACATATACATACAGATGGAGTTTGTAGAATTGTGCTTTTTCCAAAAGTGCCTTGAGAATTTTAATGTCACTGGCATGTCCAGCAATTTTCTTTGAATTTCACACTCTGATATCTGTGAAAAAGTTGTCTAATAAGTATACCAAGTTTCCCCTAAAAAGACCTAAAGAATAATGAACAAAGTGGAATAATGTAATTTGAATCTTATTTTCAAATAGTAATTTCCAGATTTATGGCCAGTAGTTACATTCTTCTGGAAATATGTGCTACATTTTTCTTTTCTTTTGGGGGAGTATAGGTGTAGGGATTGAACTTTGCCACTGAGCCATATACCCAGCCCTTTTTTATTTTTTTGAGACAGAATCTCACTAAGTTGCTGAGACTGGCATTGAACTTGGGATTCTTGTACTTCAGTTTCTCTCCTGAGGTTACAGACATGTACCATCATGCCCGACTACATATTTCTTCCTTGTTTATTTCTTTTTAATTATTATATTTTAGTTATACATAACATTAAGATTAATTTTGACATAATTATACAATTATGAAATATAATTTGCTATAATTCAATCCCTAGTACTTCTCTTTTCCTAATCTCCATCCTTCCCTTGTTACCTATCTCTAATATACTGATCTTTCTTCTGTATTTTTGTAGTTTTTTAAAAATGCTTTCTTCAGTGACTTCTTACTGAAGGAGAAGATGGAATACTCCCAATGAGGTCATTACTATTATGAGTTTGAAGTCTTTTAGCATCTTATTAGAGTCATAATTTTAGTCTGACAAGGTCTTTCCTAGTCTGGCCATACACATAGTTATTTCACAACAGAATCATTGGACATTTAGTTTCCTGCAACACACCTTTAAAAAGCATACTCTGGAAAGAGAGGTTATGTTTTTAACCAAATGTAAATATAAATATATATTTATAAATATATATATTTGGTAGGAACCACATGGGAAGCAATCAAAATCCATTTCTTTTAGCTTATTTCCAATCGTGTACATAATAATGAAGTTTGAAACTGGATATTTTCATATTTATTGCTTATTAACTAAACCAATTATTGAAGGAATATATAGAGTAAACTGAATTTTAAACTTTTTATTTGTGCATTATTATTTTACATAACAGTGGGATTCATTATGTCATATTTGTATATGTACATTACATAATTTTCCAATCTCCTTCCTGAGTACCTTTATTTTCCTCTTTTTCTCCCTCTCCCTGATCACTTGTCCTACTTTACTTGTCTCTCTTCTATTATTATTATTATTATTATTATTATTATTAATTTCAATTAGTGCATTATATACATATATATGGATAAACTGTGATATAATTGTACATGAACAGCATAATTTGGCAGATTTCTGTTTTCTCTCATATTCAGAAGCTAGAGAGAGAAAAAAAAAGAAATTTAAAAAGAGGTGTTGGGTGTGGTAGCACACACCTGTAATCCCAGTAACTCTGGAGGCTGAGGCAGGGGATCACAAGTATGAGGTCAGTCTCATCAACTTAGCAAGACCCTATCTCAAAATAAAAAGAAAAAGGGGTTGGGAATGTACTCAGTGGTAAACTTACCCTGGATTAAATTCCAAGGACTAGAACACAAAGGAGGGTGGGTGTTGGTATTTAGGAAATCTTCAGGAAAGTGATCTGCAATTTATTTTTCTATACAACTGACCAGAATATTTGTTATCTATCCCAAATTCAGTTAACTATAATTAACTATAATTAAATTGTACTTCTTATTTCATGAATCTTTCTTTTATAATCCTATTGCAAAATGTGCAAAATATGTGGTACATACATGGTTTAATGTATTTTATCTTCACTTATTCTTCTTCAGTATCATAGTCTGAAGCATTGTCTATGAACTATTTATTCCTCAGAGGAAGGCAGGCTCCAGGAACTGTTTTCCACACGCTCCTTTTAGAGCCCTCTTCTTCAGACAATCCAAGATGTTTTTTCTTCTCCCTTAATCCTCCAACTATACTCCTATTTAACTATCTCCCCTGCTTCTCTAGTTAATCTCCCCAGTAGTTTTGGCATATATTTTCATACAAGTTTCTTTGAAAACAGATGTTATCATTATTTATTTTGTTTCAACTTAAATCTGTTTTATTATTCTAAAGACTTGAATCTATTCTTTATATTCTCACTGAGTAGATTAATATATCTTTCTCTTGGTATTTATTTTTTCATATTTACTGACTTGTAACATTAATTTATATTTGTTTTAAGTCTAATAAGACTAGATACAACTTCTGTTGAAACATGTGTCTCCTAACTTTGCAACACTGAAATTCAGTTGTGTTTCTATACACTAAACAAATACTCCAAAAAGAAAATCAAGAAAACAACCTCTTTTGTAATAATATAGAAGAATGAAATCCCTGGAAAAAAGTTTATCCAAGTAGGCAAAAGATTTGTGAAATTAAAGCAAAATCTAACTGAAAATATTAAAGATGACACAAAAAGTGGAAAGATGTTCCATATTCCTGAATTAGAAGACTTTCTATTGTTAAAATACTATTGTTAAAATACCCATATTAGTCAAGGTGAGAATATCATGCTACAAAATAAGTCAATCACAAAAAACCAAAGGCCAAATGTTTTGTTTGATATGCAGCTGCTAATTCACAATAGTGGCCAATAGGGGCCAGGGTGCACTAGGGAAGAAGAATGTTACTTTAGATTAGGTAGAGGGGAGTGAAAAGAAGGAAGAGGACATAGGGTAGGAAGGGTAGTAGAGTGAATCTAACATTACCTTATGTACAAATATGACTGCATGACTGATGTGATTCTACAACATGCACAATTAGAAAAATGAGAAATTATACTCTATTTATGTAAGACATATCAAAGTACAAAAATGCATTCTACTGTCATGTATAACTAACTAAAACAAATTTTAAAAAATTTCAAAATACATTATTACAGAGAGCAGTGGTGTAGGCCTGTAATCCTAGTGGCTCTGAAGGCTGAGGCAGGAGACTCATGTATTCAAAGCCAGCCTCAGAAAAATTGAGGCACTAAGCAACTCAGTGAGAACCTGTCTCTAAATAAAATATAAAATAGGAGTGGGTATGTAGCTCAGTGATCAAGTGCCCTTCAGTTTAATCCCTAGTAACCTCCCAAATGTAGTACTATTATTTTTGTTGGCAATATAAGAAATGTGCTCTTAAATGATTTGTTTTTATTGAAATAGTATTTGCAATGGGTCCCAAAATCTGCTAAAATTTGGCCCAAACATATTTTAATTTATTTAGAGAAGTAAAATAGCCTTGGAATTATTCCACAATAATGTTATAGATAACATCAATGCGAAATCATGAGCATGTGAATTCCAAGTTCATTTATCTAATATACTAATTCTGTGGTCTCAAACATGTTTCATGATATAGTGTGCATCTGTTTCTGCATTTATAAAATGTAAAAAGAATGTCACATAACCTGATAAGGGTTGTTATCAGGATTATTTTTTAAACATGTAACATACTTAAAGTAACATAGTATATAGGAAATATTATCTAAAGACTTGCTTGTTTTATTGTGAAATAGAAAATTTAACCCTGTATCTAGCTTACTTGTAGGTAAAGTTGTCAGTTTCAGGAAGCAGTTTAGGAAAGGGTGTTGTTCTATGCTACTAAACTATGCTCATGCATCAATAAAATGTACGACAGAAAATTAAAAGTTCATGTGGATTTCTGATTTGTATTTGCTTATGTGAGATTGGGAGGAAGGGAAAGAGTCTTTTGAATACTGTTCGTAGGGTTACCCAGAGAGAGTTAGGCTACTCTGCAGATTGTCAGAGAGACCAGAACTTCATATTCTCTCCCATTTATGTAACACAGCTCAGACTACCTAAGTCAAACACAGAGAGATGTAAGAACTTCAAGTTTTTCTCCTCTGGTAGCTAATCAATCAAGTGATCATTTAGTATTATTTAATTTTTAGAGCTTCGCAACTCATTTTCAGAGTTGCCTTCTGTCACTGAAAATTAGAAAAATCCTAGAGACACAAGTTGAGAGAAAAATCCCTCAGATCTTGTGCATGTACATACTTTAAAAATATGGAAAGAAGTTTTCACATTCTGCTTTTCTTTCAACAAGAACTACTAAAAGCTTTCTACCTAAGGCCTGTTAATCCTTTCTTCTTGCCTTTTTCTCCTTTTTTTGTAAGGGGAATGTCAATCCTATCCTTGACCCACTGTTACATTAGAGAGTTCATAAGTTGTTTGATTTCACAGAATCACAGTTGGAGAACAATTTGCCTCATGATTAATTGTGCCCAAGTCTTATCCATATCTGATATAGATAAGACTTTTGAGTTGATCTGGGTAGAAGTAAGTTCATCTGATAGAGACTAGTAGAATAAAGTGAATATAGTTTGCTTATGAGAAGAACATGAATTTGAGGACCAGGAACAGAATGGTATGGTTTGAATGTGTCCTCATTGTGTCAAAGTTCATTGGTCAGAAACGTATTCTCCAAAACAACAATGTTGAAAGCTGGGATCTTTAAGGAGTAATTAGGTTATGAGGAGTCTACTTCATGAATAGATTCATGTCATTATCTGGAAATGAGTCCATTATTGCTTGAAAAGGGTCATTCTAAAGGAGAAGTTTGTCCCTTTTCTTTTACCCTTGTGATACCTTCCACCATGTTATGATACAGAAAGAAAGCCCTGACCATATGCATTTCACTGAAATGGACTCTCCTGTCTCCAGAACTGTGGATCAAATTAACTTTTATTGTTTATAAATTGCTCACTCTGTGGTATCCAATCATAGCAGCACAAAATGGACTTAACACTTTAATACATCAGATTTATGGTACATTGATATTAGAAATGTAAAATGATACAGTGACTGAAGGAAAAC